GCTTCAGCCTCTCGGGTAGCTGGGACTACAGGTGCCCGCTACAATGCCCAGCTATTTTTTTGTTGCAGTTTGATCAGGGCCAGGTTCCAACCCGCCACCCTTGGTGTATGGGGCCAGCGCTCTACCCTACTGAGCCCCAGGCACCACCCTCCTTTCCTTCCTTTCTCTTTGTTTTGGCAGGATTTTGCTTTATCACCCTGGCTGGAGTACACTGCTGTGATCATAGCTCACTGTGACCTCAAATACCTGAGCTCATGTGATCCTCCTGACTTAGTCTGCTGAGTAGCTGGGACTATGGGCACACACTAACCTGCCTGGCTGATTTTTTTTTTTTTTTTGAGACAGAGTCTTAAGCTGTTACCCTGGGTAGAGTGCCGTGGTGTCACAGCTCACAGCAACCTCCAACTCCTGGGCTTAAGCGATTCTCTTGCCTCAGCCTCCCAAGTAGCTGGGACTACAGGTGCACGCCACAATGCCCGGCTATTTTTTGGTTGTAGTTGTCATTATTGTTTTGCAGGCCTGGGGTGGATTCGAACCCACCAGGTCTGGTGTATGTGGCTGGCACCTTAGCCATTTGAGCTACAGGAGCTAAGCCTTTTGTTTTTATTTTAATTTTTATAAATACAAGGTCTCACCATGTTATCCAGGGTAGTCTCAAGTTCCTGATTTCAAGTGATCCTCTCATAGTGCTGGGATTACAGGTGTGAGTGACAGTACTCAGCTTCATTTTCTTTTTATAATGAAATAGAAACCAATTTCATCAACTATACAAAATCTCCTTTCAATAGAAGCCTAGAGTAGAATATAATATGTCAGTGTTAGCTGTCACCATGTGGGAGTCCCTCCAGCTTATCTCCTTTATCACAAGGATGGTATCGCTTACAAACAGGTTCTGCCTCTTCATATAGTACTTATAAAGGAAATGGATCTTTTTCCTGTTTCCTTCTGATACTTGAGACTTCACCTTGTGCTTTGGCTGATGCTGACATACAAGGATTTGGTTCTTTTTTTTTTCAAGAGAGAGAGTCTCACTTTGTTGCCCTCGGTAGAATGCCGTGGCATCATAGCTCACAGCAACCTCCAACTCTTGGGCTTCCGTGATTCTCTTGTCTCAGCCTCCCTAGTAGCTGGGACTATAGGTGCCCGCCACAATGCCTGGCTATTTTTTTTGTTGCAGTTTGGCCAGGGCTGGGTTTGAACCTGCCACCCTCGGCCACCCTTGGTATAATGGGGCTGGTCCCCTACTCACTGAGCCTCAGGCGCCACCCAAGGTTTTGGTTGTTAACATTTCTAATTTCCCTATAAGGTAGAGATTTCTCCCATCACTGGTGAATAGGTAATTACACGAACAATAGTTTGGTTTAATAGACTCAGGAAATTTCATTGCAATTAGTAACATACCAGCCTCATGAAGTGGCTGGAGTGCTATCTAAGACTAGTGATATGATCTCATGATCTTTCAGTCTGTGTAGCTTTTGCTTTGGAAATAGATATCCTTGTTCAGTGCATTCCTCATTCTTTGTTCTTAATCCTTTACTTAGTATAAATTATTTTTCCTATAATTCAACTGTAACCTATTGTAAATTTGCTTTCACCTTTTACAGTTACTAAACCAAGGAGATTTAACTGAAAGACGGACATGAGCATGGGTGCTGACTCCTGGAAGAGCAGCTCTATCTGATTTGAGAGTGCATATAGTGGGAACAGGATGCTATCGCTCATGTTCTGCCAGAACCAAAATGAATCTCTAAAGGACACAACTCCACTTTTGCCTCTGTTCATCTTCCCTGGCATAGAAGATGGATGTAGAAGAGCTTCTCTTCTAACTACCACCTGATCCAGAAAAGGAAGGAAGCAGTGACTGTGGGCTGGGTAATTGTACCTACCTCTCTTCCCACTGCAAAATTTTGGGATAAACTCCCAAAAGTGAATTGATTAGTGTATTGGCTGAAGTTTCTCATTATGACTGCTGATAGGAGGTTTTCCTTTGAAGAGTTTTCATCCCAGACTCAGCTGTCTTTTCACACGGATGAACTAAGTCCTGCACCAACCACAAAACTTCACCGGGAAGTTGAGCTTTCAAGATGCCTTGTTGCTTTGAAGAAGGGAGTGATGTCAGTTCTGATGTGACATTCTCCCTTTAGCAACCTGAGTAAGAGACTTTCTGCCACTGGGCTGCAAAAAATAAATTACTTGAATCTCTCCTTGACCCAGGCTGAGGTACTACCTTGTCCTGTACACCTCTACTTGGTTACTTTCCTTCCTTCATTAATAGAACATACAGTAGCATGTTAAGAGGGGATTTTTTTGTGTTTGTTTTTTTTTAAAGTTAAAAATCACATGATTCAGAGCTTCAGTGTTCCCTTTAAATAAAAAAAAACAGCCCAGTCAGTTCTTTGGCTCTTGATTTGGACAAAATTTATTAGAGAGGAGATTAATATTAATAAACCAGTTCTTTCCCCTTTAGATAGTGCACTGATTTATCCTTTGGATTCCATGCAGGTAAAACTGAACAGAGGAGTCTTAGGAAACATGATGTGAGTGTCTTCATTTCTAACTAGCAAACTTAAGGTGGTAGTTATTAGATTATTACTTTGTCACCACCAGAAAAGACCAAAAATAACCAATAGTTAAGGATAAGAAGTTCTTCTACTAGAGGTTGCATATTTGTCATCCTCCATTGGGCAAATCTGATATAATAATTTCTAAATAATTTCTCAGTTGCAAACATGGATATTTCAGGCTAAATAATTTCTAAATAATATAATTCTAAATAATTTCTAAATAATTTCTCAGTTAGTTGCAAACATGGATATTTCAGGCTTGATGAAAATGTGTTGATCTGGTTAATTCTGAGTCTGTAGTCCAGTAGGGTTTATCCTCTCCATTATCTACTATCTCCTACTATATATACTACATCTGCTGGCTGACTTAAGTTGCCTATCTCCTATAGGCATCTGGGCTTTGAGGCATGATGCAAGAAATCTTAACTCTGGACAATGATCCCTTCACTTGTGCTTTCTAACTTTGATTTCCGTGTTATCTGCTACTCTTTTCCCCATTCTCTGAAAGTTCTCATGTCTCAAAACCCAAGTTTTGGCTGCTTTGACTCAGACCTGTCAGCTGCTGAATATTGTTCAAAAGCAGTGATTTTAAGTGTACTGATTAAGCAAGTGACTTCAGATTGTCCAGTGATTCATAAGACAGCTCCTCCAGTACTTTCTTGGGGCTGGTAGGCTGTTCTAGAGAGTCTTCTAAATCTTGCTGTGGATCCCTAATGCTGAGTTTTGTAGTTTCATGGATGCTGTAGAATATATTAAAGCATTATAAAATAGAAAAAGTAAGGGATTATGTAAGATTTAAGTATGGTCTTAACATTCTTATTTTATGTGGGGTATAAAGGGAAATTTCTAGAGGAGAAACTAGTATAGAAATTAGGAGAGGGCTGGGCAGTGCCTGTGGCTCAAAGGAGTAGGGCGCTGGCCCCATATGCCAGAGGTGGCCGGTTCAAACCCAGCCCTGGCCAAAAAAACTGCAAAAAAAAAAAGAAGGGGAGGGGCCATTAAGACTTAAGAGATGAAACCAAATTGACAATAATGCACAGATACTATGCTTTTCTCCCTTTGACTTATATCAAAATAGATTATGGAGGAAGTAATGCTAATACCTTTAAGGAATGCTAGAGAAACAGTTGTATCATTTTATAAGAAGTCAGAGTATACATGATTTTTCTTGAGAAGTGGAAATACTTTTGACTCATGGAATCAGAACTGGAATTGGAAATTACCTATGTGTATTTCAAATTGAAGAAATCAAATTTAATATACAATGGTTAGATTTTATTCACAAAACTGCACCACTCTCTAAATTCAAATGTGTTATTTGGAGGTCCCTAGATTAGTTATTATATAAATAAAGGATGTGATCTCAAAGTATAAGTGGCTGTTCTAAAGGTTCCTCCCAATTTAGAGGGGATGAGAATGACAGCAGCATCTCAGGTTACCTGGGAGAATTCCTGACTTTGGTTCCTTCCTTCCCTTGTACAGCTGGGATATCTTCACCCTTGTTCCTCACAAAGTCTTCCTCCAGCCCAGCCTGCTTTAGGGTGTCCAGGTACAGTTTTTCTGCTTCTTTCCTGGCAAAATCCTGTGGAATGGACAGTTCTAAATTACTTGCTTAATCAATACCCTCCTGCCACTATCCTTTCCTTATTGCTGGGCACAGATTTACATGAAAATCTTGTTTTCAAGTGTTAATGTGCATCTGAGTCACCTGAGGTCAGTGTTAGTGTTACATGCAGATTCTCATTTGTCTCAAGGATGGGGCCTATAATTCTATATTTCTAACACAGCTAGGAAATGACTCTTTTTTTTAATGAAAAGACATTAGAAATGATCTATAATCCTACCATTCAAAAATAGCTATTGAGACTCCCACATGCATTTGATGAACTTTGCTACTCAAGGCTATCATGTGACTACCTCTCTGTCCTGAACACACAGGCCCGCCTGACAGTTCTTCATAGAGATGACAACTTTTGATTTGGGTGCTACACCTTTGAAAAGCAAGGTCTTAGATTTGGGGAAGACAGTTGAGACACCAGATGAAAAAAAATGACTAAAAGTGTTTTAAGATTTAAAAGCTAGCCTGGTGTGTGTACCACATGCCTGTAGTTCCAGCTACTCAGGAGGTTCAGGCAAGAGGATCGCTTGAGCCCAAGAGTTTGAGTTGCTGTGAGCTATGATGCCACGCCACTCTACCCAGGGCAACAGAGTGAGACTCCATCTCAAAAATAAAATAAAAATAATAAAAGCAGAGGCAGCGCCTGTGGCTCAAAGGAGTAGGGCGCCGGCCCCATATGCCAGAGGTGGCGGGTTCAAACCCAGCCCCTGCCAAAAACTGCAAAAATAATAAAAGCAATAAAACCAAGAACAGGAACACTAAAATAAAATAAATAGGAAATAAACCTCATTAACAACACTCTTACAAGGATACAAGGTCTCCTTGTGAGCCAGAAAAAAATTATTTCTTAGTTGTAATATTCAAGAATAAAATCAGAGTACTTTGTCTTAGAGTGCTGAAACATCTATTGAGATCTGAAGAATAGACTTACTTGAAACAAGTTAACATAAAGAAGATAGATGAGCACGAGAGACTTTGAACAATGCGGGTTGCTAAGAAAATCCAAGACCTGGGTGGTGCCTGTGGCTCAGTGGGTAGGGTGCCAGCCCCATATACCAAGGGTGGCAGGTTCGAACCTGGCCCTGGCCAAACTGCAACAAAAAATAGCTGGGCATTGTGGCTGGCCCTGTAGTCCCAGCTACCAGGAAGCTGAGGCAAGAGAATTGCCTAAGCCCGGGAATTAGAGGTTGCTGTGAGCTGTAAAAGCACAGCACTCTACCAAGGGTGATAAAGTAAGACTGTCTCTTTAAAAAAAAGAAAAGAAAATCCAAGACCTTGCCATGAATATGTGAGATAGAGATTTATGGAGGTGGGAGCGTGGATCTAGCAAATTCATAGTTAATGCACCAGCTGTACGATGAATCTAATACTCTAATGCTCGGCAATTGGAACAAGGTGTCTGGGGAACCCCAGCTTTTGTCTGAAACTCTGGAGAGGAAAGGGATCTACAGAGCCTGATGAAGCCTGAAACTGCTGGGATGGTGGCCTGTGTTGGCTGTTGAAGTAGCTCCAAAGCTTCCTTAGGGCGATCTCAAGTACAACTTTCCTAAAGTCTAGAAAATATTTTTAAATGATAATCTTCCAGCCTTAAAGCCACTTAATCTCTGGAAGGAGCCTTATGTAGTGCTTGTGAGCATCCCAACCCTTGGAGACCTATAAATGTGCTGCTGCCCTAGAGGCTGGGGACACCCAGGGGCAGCAATACTGCCAGAGGAAGCTGCCTTCCCAGCACTGTAAATAGTGGCTCTAGACAACAAAAACACCCAAATGGTCACTGTGTCTGGGATCTAAACCCCTGCCCCCGACACACTGATTCAGTCTGGAAGTGAGACTATAGTGAAAACTTAACGAAGTGAAATACTCCCTTATAGATGTCTATGGAGTCCAATCTTAAATCAACCCAAGCAGAAATCACTATAGTACTACTTACTTTGGGAAAAACTGGTAGTAATAAAATGGGCCAAATTTAGAAATGTTTAATATCCACATATTGAAGTTGTTTGATAATTTTGAAGAGCCCTTTCATCCAAGGCAGAAAGTAAAGGAATTATGATGCTTTAGTTTTACCTTGGTAACTTGTTCAAAGAGATACGGCCTTGTTTGTATTCTCTTCTTCATTTCCTCCAATTCTTTCTTATACTCTTTTGCTCTTTTACGGTCATTGTTCCTGAAATTAATTAACAAGATTTCCAGAACGAATTCTGTCTTTTCCAATCCAGAACCCCCTTCATTCTAGTTAAGGATTGTAACTCCCATGTACATTTTAAATTCCTGACTACCTGGCAGAATCCTCGATTCCCTATAGTTGTAGGTGCCTCCCCTGTAATCATGACTTCATTTTGCCATTTTCTTTCTTTCTCTTTTTTTTTTTTTTAGAAACAGAGTCTCACTTTGTTGCCCAGGGTAGAGTGCCATGGTGTTAGAGCTCACAGCAACCTCCAGCTCTTGGGCTTAGGTGATTATATTGCCTCAGCCTCCCAAGTAGCTGGGGCTAGGACACCTGGCTATTTTTTTGTTGCAGTTTGGGTGGGGCCGGGTTTGAACCCACCACCCTCAGTACATGGGTCTAGCGCCCTACTCATTGAGCCACAGGTGCCGCCCCATTTTGCCATTTTCAAGACCAGTGATCTGTTGGATCCCAAGACAGATACCTCTGTCATATAGAGGACACTGACCTGTTCTCTTTCAGCTTTGCTTTGAATACCTCCTCCAGACTTTTATGGGGATCCATGGCTTTTGCACGTAAGGTCACAGATTTAGACATTGCTTGACATTTCCTTTTGTGCATCTCTAACCACTGAATACTGTCATCTGCTTTTTCCTTTTTTTCCAGTGAATTTCTAAAGAGAAGAGGCAAGAAAGAGTATAATCAGCTTGGGTATACTTAAAAGCAATCTTAGTAACCTCTCTGGAAAGGACATTGGGTTTTCAGTGAATGGGGCAGGTAATTTACCATAGCTGCCATTTTCAGAAATAATAATATTATGGGATTAAAGCACTAGGATGAAGCCTTTCCATCATTATGGACATGGTGATTTCCTACCCTAGGTTAACTTCATTTATTAAACTGGAGAGGCCAGGTGCGGTAGCTCACATCTGTAATCACGGCACTCTGGGAGTTTGAGGCAGGTGGATTGTTTGAACTCAGGAATGTGAGACCAGCCTGGCCCCATCTCTACTAAAAATAGGAAAACTAGCTGGGTGTCATGTCAGGTGCCCATAGTCCCAGCTAATTGGGAGCTGAGATAAGAGGATCTGTTAAGTTAGGGGTTTGAGGTTGCACTGAGCTGTGACACCATGGCATTCTAGCCTGGGGCAACAGAGTGAGACTCTGTCTCAAAAATAAATAAATAAATACATAAATAAAGGAAAAGGCTGGTTGTGGTGGCTTATGCCTGTAATCCAAGGCTGGACAGATTGCTTTAGCTCAGGAGTTTGAGATCAGCCTGAACAAGAGCAAGACCCCATCTCTACTACAAATAGAAACAAATAAAAAAACAAAAAACTAGCTAGGTGCTATGGTGGGTACCTATAATCCTAGCTACTTCAGAGGCTGAGACAGGAGGATTGCTTGAGCTCAAGAGTTTGAGGTTGCTGTAAACTATGATGCCATGGCACTCTACCCAGGGCACAGAGTGAGAATCTGTCTCAAAAAAATAAATAAATAAAATAAACTGGAGAAATGTGACTTAAAAAATATCTTAAATAGCCAAACCCTCAGTAGGTCTTTGCTAGATTACCTGCCTATCTAGAAACAAAGTAATGCTAATAGCTATCATTTGCTGAGCTACCTGTCTTGAACCTAGTACCATTATATTTCCTCATAACTGTTTTAAGAGGTAAAGACTGTAAGTCCCCTTGTTATAGGGGAGGAGCTTGGGGCTCAGAGAAGGTAAGCCACATTCTCAAAGCTACCTACCCAGCATGCAAGTGAAAAAGCCAGCATTAGAACAAGGATCTAGGCTTGGCGTCTGTGGCTCAAATGACTAAGGCACCAGCCACATACACCTAAGGTGGCAGGTTCGAATCCAGTCCGGGCCTGC